CCTGGACCGTATCCTTCTCAGCCCCAGTACCTTCCTTGCTTTTCTGTCTCCAGCCAGCATTGAGCTGTCCAGCCCTGCAGCCATTTAGGAGCACCATCCTTGCTCCTCTGGCTCTAGCCAACAACTGATCTGCTCTGTCCAGCAGCTCATTTTTATATGAGCCTGATGGATTATGATTGGCTGCTCCCTACAGCCTCTCTAGACAGCTTGGAGGACACAGCTCTACTGTTCCCTTTCCTGTGGCAGGGTGTGGTAGGACTGTGAGGCCTCCAGCAGGGGTCCTCCAAGTTCCTGCTACACCCCATCACACCTCCTTTGTAAAGTGCTTTGAGATCTACTGATGAAATGCATTATACAAGAGCTAAATATTAATTAATTAATATTATTATAAGAGTGTGCACGAGCATGCTTAGGAGCACGTTCTACTTCTATACAAAATGTGTATCTTTCACTCCACCATGGGCTGCCCTTCTAGCTAACCACTGCTAACAGGGGGGTGTCAGTCCTGGTGGGTAGTCATGTTCCCAGCCCACATGTCCTTTGGAATGGACAGTACTGCCAACACTGAGCCTGAACCAAAGCTCATTGAAGTCAGTGGATCAATGGATCAGGTCCACTGTTAACCTCTCCTATTGTACTCAGGAAACATAAGCAGCCAAATTATTGATGCCTCCCCTAGAGATGTGTTGGAAGTGAAGTTGGGGTTGCCAACCTTCCAGGGTTGTCCTGGAGTTTCCAGGAATTGAAGATTAATTAAGCTTTAATTAAAGATTATGTCATCTGATGAAACCTCCAGGAGTACATCAGCCAAGCTCTTTCAGCCAAGATGGTCAATTACAATGTGTGTGAACAGCAGCCACAGCAATGAAGTCCCAATTGCAGTTGGGTCCTCAAGGCACTTGTGCAATATAAATGAGAAGAAAAATAACAGCCAATCACAATTGGTGAATGAAAACTTGGATCTATCATTTTTGACTGTCCCACTAAATAAGTATTTATATGAGAGATCAGAGCATCCTTGAAGGAGCTGTTTTGGTCTATTGGGTAAATATAATGTGATTTTGGAAACGTAACTGGAAGAATTTTTGTGTGTGTATTTTGAAAATCCACTAGATGTCAGTGTAACCAAAGCATCAAACTGCTAGACAGCTCTTAACTGGAGAACTAGAACAGGGATGTCCGTGGAACAATATTTATAGACCCACTTACTCCATGGACACAGTACATCTGAGGACTGCTATGTTTTATTGTTACTCTAGGAAATATTAACAGGAACAATTTCACCACTGATTACTCGGACTCTGTGATGTAGTTCCTACCCATACAACTTCTGTGGAGTAGGACTGTAAACACTTCTGAGAATGATGAGATGGTAGTACCCTCCAGTTTAGAGGTAGGATGAACAGGCAGAATGAAGCGCTACTGAATAGGTGGAAACAGGGCCGGCTCCAGGGTTTTTGCCGCCCCAAGTGGCGGAAAAAAAAAAAAAAAGCCACGACCGCGATCGGCGGCAGCTCCACCGCACCACTTTCTTCTTCGGCGGCAATTTGGCGGCAGGTTCATCCCTCTGAGAGGGACCGAGGGACCTGCCGCCAAATTGCCGAAGAGCCCAACGTGCCGCCCCTTCCCCTTGGCCACCCCAAGCACCTGCTTGCTGAACTGGTGCCTGGAGCCGGCCCTGGGTGGAAAGCAGGTAAAACTAGGGCCACTTGTAGGGTTGCTAATTTTGGTTGGATGCATTCCTGGAGGTTTCCTCTCGTTACATAATCTTTAATTTCTGGAGACTCCAGGACTCTCCTGGAGGGTTGTCAACCCTAGTCACTTGAGGAGGTTAATGCCTGTGAATGCTGCTTTGTGACTGTAATTTTTCTCTTTATAACTCCCTACAAGAGACCTTCCTCGCTTATCTCCAGAATGTGATGACTATTCTTTCAGACATAGAGGAGTGGTTCAGGCTCTCTCCAGAGACCATCAGGGCTGCTCTCAAATCCACCAGAGAGATTGTTGCAGAGTGCTACGAGGTGCTCCCTCCCTAGGTTGAGGGCATTTTCTCTTTATAGCGCTCCTAGCTTTTGCATTGTCAGGAATGAAGGACTAGCCCCAAACACAGATCTCCAGATAGTGATGACAGCTTAATCACCAAGTCAAACACTCGTAGGCTCCCAGGCCAATTTTTCTATCAGGAAACAGCTCAGATATATATGATTGGGCAAGTCATCAGATGAGAAATCCCATGTTCATGGAACATTTCTCATTAGGGTAGATATTAATTGACAAATAAAAAATAAAACACAATCCACAATTCCCATGATTTGTTCTGTTTTACTGGTCTTTATGCATAATACATTGCACCTCCAAGCCTTCTGTTTATTACACTCTACTAATTACCCTCTTGTGTCCCATTCACCTATACCCAAAAGACATGAAGAAAACCACCAACATGCACCAGAAAAACAAAACTGGGGAGTCATATTGCCTTTACATGTAGAAGAGCAACTAAGAGAAATTCAATTTCTGAATTTCATTTCATGGCATAAAAAAAAAAACATCTGGGAAATATGGAAATTGCACTAACCAATCAAACACCCAGATGACTCTCTCAGACAGGGCTTGTTTTCATGAGTGATTTGCAGTTAATATGTTTGTAAAAGTTAACCTGGACATTCCCCAAATGTTTGTTCCAGGCATAGTCCAAACGTGGTAACTACCTTGAATTGTCAGTTAATTAACTTATACAAAATCTAAGTGTAGGCATACCCATGTTCGCCAATACATCTATATCACTAAGTATACTTCAGTGGAAGCAGCAAGAAACCCCATACTGGACTGTGACATTCCCCAAGGTATAATCTGGAGGGCTGAGTAGTGGTGTCTCCTCAACTCTCCAATTGGGGTGCCTTTTACACTGCTTCGCTTTGAGAACAACCACTCCTAGTCTATTTATACACAGCCTCTAGAATGCAAAATCACTCCCAGCTGAATTATATGCATGCTTCTAGCCAGCCACTCCTGAACTGTATTGCAGAGTGACACCAGTAAATTCCCAGTCCAAGACTTGTCCCCAGAAATTTGCATCTTGTACTGCCCAGCTCTTTCCTTCTGTACTGTACAAGCTTATAGAAAGCCCATCATTTCATAAATGGAAAATGATATGCACAAACCCTGCTATCTCAAATTAAGTTTCTCAACCACTTCAATCCAGACATACACTGGTTTAGATAAAACAAGTTTATTAACTACAGAAAGATAGATTTTAAGTGATTACAAGTAATGAGGCAGAAAAGTCAGAACTGGTTACAAAGAAATAAAAGGTAAAACATAAACTAATATCTAAGTTAACAAACTAAGTAAATTTAAAGCAAAAGGTTTCTCTCACTATATGCTTACAGCAGTCTGGTTGGATTCCTTCAGCCAGGACTCCTCCCCCCAGTTCAATGATGCTTCTTTCATCTTTCAAATGTTGTTGATGCCATGAGTAGAGATGAGGGGAGAGAGGTGATTTTAGGGCTGTGTTCCACATTTTTATATCTTTTCCTCCTCTTTGAGAATCATCTTAGGCTGGGGTTCAGGTGAAGCCAGTCTGTTTACATGGGAACCCCCAACTGCTCCATTTCCAAGATGTAAAGTTCTTACTCACACCCTTCTTCCTGCCAAAGAATGGCCACTTACCCCATTGATAGTCCATTTGATTGTGTTGACACTTGGCTGAGGCTTCAGTTTGCCTTTTGTCTCTGAGGAACTGGTCTGGGCTGCTTTCCCAGACTTGGAATATCCCTTAGTAACATCATACACAGAATCTTATGACTTTACATAAAATGTTGCCACATATTTTACCAGAACAATAATGATCAGCAAATTATGAGTTTTCAGATGATACCTCACAAAGCATAGTTTGTACAAGATTTATCATAATTTTGTAAAAGTGGTGAACAAAAAGGAAAATGGTGTGTCACATGGACAATTATGGAATAATTAACCCATGGAAAAGTTCCTCCCTAGCCCCCATTAGTGATAAGCTGATGATCTGAAGCATGAGGGTTTATGTCCCTTATAAAATAATTTCACTCCATCGAATATAAATATGGATGTTTTCATTACCCATAGAATGGATGATCCTTTCCCATTTTTGGAGGGTCACATCACACAGCATGATGTTGCAAGTTGGGCTTGCAGGATATAGGAAAGATGAGTGAAAAGCCATCTGCTGAATAGCTTTTCCTCCTTGATGCTGCATGCAATTGCTTCTACATATGATGTGATAGGTGGCATTCCTGCTAATTTGGCATATATTGTCTTCTCTTCTACTATTTTGCTTTTGTTCTTTTGTTAATAGTTTAGAGTTGAAATGTTGCACGTGTGATTGGTGATTACATCAGGAAAAAAGTGTTTTCCATATGCTCATTTGTGGATACTGTATGGCCCTGATCGTGATAATAATTAAACACCCGCATAACTCTCCTCCCATAAGTAGAGTTGTGCATGTACTTAAGCATTTGCAGGGCCATCAGAAGTATATACTTTGTTTCCTACTCACTGAACATAACTGAAAGGATGTGAAAGTATGTATGAAAATGACAGATTACAGATCTAATTTCTTATTAAATCTCACCTTTCCTGACAGCTAAGCAACTGGAAAACAAAAATAGAAAGACATAGTTTTTGCTACTTTTAAAAAAATAAAGCACAATAATGTTGCAAAATTCTTGCAAGATTAGAATTAAATTCTACATCTAGATTGTCATTTATATTCGTGTCTTACTCTACTGAGTACATGCTTTTAAATTCAGTATTTAGTTTATGTACTTGTACTGTAACATAGCATAAAGTCATTGAAAGCAGAACAGAAATATACATAAATGTACATCTATTTTAAAGTCAATTCACTTAATTTTCAAATGTATTACAAAATTATTTAAGTTTCCCCTTATGTATTTTAAAAATCACAAACAGAACAAATCAAGATAGATTCCTACTGAACTTTCATCTTACAATTAGTTTTATTACATTCTGAGCTCAGGGCCTCCCCTTCTATTTTTCTTGTGTAAAATGCAAACAATCATACTTACAGCTATTGATACAGCTATTATAGACCCAGCTACTATTAACACTATTGTTAAAACATTAATACCTTCATTGATAACATCATCATTAGGAGTACTATCAGGCGAGGATTCCTTTGGAGGGATAAACAAAGCTGCTTGTGCTATATTAGACACTTCTGAGGTCAGGGAGGCATTATCAATGGCACGTATTGCAAAGTAGATTATGGTGCCATTTTCTATTGTGACATTTTCTGATTTAAACTGAAATGATTCTTTGGTGCCGGCAGGTTTAGGTACCAGACTGGAAGTATTCACGGAAGTAGCATCCTCAAAGGTGTTTCTCAGGTCCAGAAGACTTTCACTCATTTTTATTATGTATCTGTCAGCTGGAAAAAGCGAGGAATACAAGTAAGAGTGTGTTAGTAATGCCTATTATATTATCTGTAACTGCAAGCATAGTACAGGATTTGTAGAACAGTTTTGTATCTTTATCAGAACTCCAATGATACTCCATTACCATCCCTACCATTTTCCCCACCCTCACTATTCATGGGCCTGCTTAATTGACTCCCATCCTTTCTCTGAAGAGCTCTGGGCAGGATTCCTGTTAGAACTTGTGTGTTTCACAGTTTAATTGGGTCAATAGTCTACTGTTAACTGATGTGGGTCATTCCCTCCCTTAATGAGCACTAAGTGCATTATATTATCAGCACCCTTAGCTCCTGCTAGGCTGAGCAGCAGGAGACCAAACCCAAGAATTCAAGATGAGTCTTCCACATGGCAGTGCAGAAAACTGCCACTAAACTGCCCCACATCCATGCCTCCCCACCAGCTTCCCCCATCCCTCCCATACCCATTTATACAAGTCCCTTCAATTGTCTTTGGTGAGTATCCAGGTCAAGTATAAGATCAAACAGTACATTTAAAAAACACAGCAGTACAGGGATATGTCCCTGCATCCTGGTCAGCATTCCCTCTCTAAAAGCATAGACTGAGAGATAGGAAAATGCCTGCTCCATTTGCCAGCATAGTTAGAGTATTAGGGATGTTGTTGGAAATGTGCCTGGCTTCCACTGTTGTCATTTCAAGGCTGTTTGGTTCTGTTCTGCTAATGGGTTTTCCAGGTCTTTGTTTGAGTTGAGTTCTACCTCCTGTCCCGCATCTTCTTTTCTATCCCTGCAGAGCTGGGGGATGGGGTAGCAAAAGAGTGCTATTCCAGCTCTACACCATCAGAGGATCCTCCTAACTTAGGTTATTCTCCCATTGCTGGCTACTCTAGCTATACGGTTGTTATGACCAGGAGGAGTAGTGCAAAGTAGCCACATAGCAGAACCTAGACCAGTGCTTTGGGGATTTAATGGAGTTGTTGGTTTATTCTCCGGTGAGCTGGTTGACAAGAGCTGTAGGCATATGTAAAGATTTTAATCTGAGGCTGCTCTCTGTGTGACTGTAGGACTTCTATCTTAACCCCTCTCTGGCTTGTACCAATGTACACACTGTAACACAATTGAGTCATGGGACCTGGCTACAACATACTTAAAATGTGTATTATAGAGGAGGTGTGTCCCCATAAATGGATTAAAGCCTTGGACTGTCCATGGTGTAACTGTGTCCCCTGACTTATGTATAGTTGCAGTGTTGACAGGGGCTAAGCCTTGGAAGAGTCACAGGTGAGTATATTTTTGATTTAATTTGTTTGCCTTTTTAAGCTAGCATTGGCTGGTTGGTATAAAAGTTTTGCATTTCTGCTGTAAAAGTGTCAGGGTTTGGGAATATTTCATGTTTCTCAAACATTTTTGAAGGATTAAGGGGGACTAACGTTAATATCATATTAACCAGGTAATTTACTGGTTACGCCAAGGCCTCATCTACACTAGGAAATTTTAGAGAGAAAAATCTAGCAGAGGCCAGGCCATAGTGATGGTCACATTTTTGCAGATGGGAAAGACATAACTTTTGTCCTCTGCTTGGCTGGCTCATCGTATGTAATTTCAGATAACTGACAATAATGTATCACTTCCAGCTGACTAAAACAAAACTTCCAACTTACCTTGTCCCACATCAAAGTCATTCCCGGGAGCTGTCCAAGACAAGTGAATTTTATCTTCTTCATACTGAGCCTCCAGGTCAATAATTTTACAGGGTGGGAACACATCAGTAGTTCCTCCTGAAGGAACATTCTCCATTACAAAAGAACCTCCTGAGGCAACTCTATTGAAACTCCCTAGCTTTGCTTGAATTTCATCATCACTAGGTTCAGGTCTCGGTGCATTCATTTTAATTTCACCTGTCCCAGAAAAGATAAAAAATTGCTCATAATATTTGACCATTACAAAACTCTAAATCATAGCACACTTTTTTTTTATCTAGCATTCCTTCTCGCTTTAATCTATTTTTTTCTTTAGCTTATTCAAACATAGTGCAAAAATTAGTGAGGCTCAGACAGAAAACAAAGTGAATTTCAAGACCTGCATCCTTGCACAAAACTAAGGCAGACCCTAAAAGCAAACCAGATTTCAAGGGTAGTTGAAAGTAGCAACAGTGCCTATTATCAGTTAGGGTATTTAAGGTATTGAGCAGGTGTCAGTGGGAAGTGGTTGTGATAAGGTAGCTTCCACCCCACTCTTCCTCGGTATTGCAGGCAGCGGAAGAATTACAACCTCGTAGGCATTTCCTTGCTTTTCTGGGTTAAAGTTGGACACATTTTTATGTAGACTTAAAATTCAATATATTCTAAGCTTCTAGAAATACAGAAAACTGTCTCTCTGTGTGTCCGTGTCTGTGTGTGCAAGAAAGAGAGAGAGGATATGAAATGCAAAAACTAACATTAATCCACCTTTAAGGTTGAGAAATCAGGCAGTCAAAAGTAAAGAAATTCCAAAACTTAAGTTTTCTATCACCATATTTTTTCCAGTCATGTTGCACAATTTGTCTGGGTCTTTTTGGTACTGGTAAAACAACATTAAGGTTTATATTTAACAAGGAAAACAGGAATAGGAAATACTACATTGTGCGATGTAGCCAAGTGACCACTGAGGTGCAAATCTTAATTGTTGGAACTTCCTGAGTTTTTTGGGTGCCTTATATCTCAAGTTTAGAGAGTGCTTCTTACTCAGTAGAGCTGCCACTCTGTCTACCCAGAATCAGATTAAAATGACGAAAAGTAAGTTACTATTTTTCCCCAGAGTTGTTAACCAAGTTCCATCTGCAGAGCCAACTGTTCAACTATTCTCTTCAAAGTACGTCCCAGTTACATCTGTACAATCCCACTCTTGACCACAGTGTTGTATAGATGTACGTGAGCATGGCATTTGGCCTGCAGATTATGCAGACAATGCACAAACCAGAAAGAACACAACTTGATATTCAGAACCTCAGCGTCTGTAGGGCTGGGAGTTAGAACAGCTATGTTGCTAACCTCTAACTAGCACAAATTTGTTCTGGAGCGATTGAGACACAACAGTGTAGAATTCGACAATACTATTTTTACAAAGTCACTTCAGAATAAAGCTATATTTAAATGATGAATTAACTATATTTTTTGCACTTAATTTCCCTGGGGCTTTTAGTCAAAACAGAAATGCAAAAATAAGGGAAAGAGGAAAAATATACTAAGTTACACACACACTCACACAAAGTGTTTTCTACTTCATGAATGTTCCTTACCATTTTCTATGTAGCCTGGAACATACAAGGCTCGACTCTGCCTGCGGCGAAGTCTGACAGTCTTATCTTTTCCTTGGACACGCACTTTTAAGTTGTATCTACCATTTCCTCTGAAAGATGTAAAGTACTTTGAATAGACTCCATCATTCTTGGTAATATCAGCACCTTGACATACAAATGTTAATAATTAATCATCCAAACAAGGTACCTTTTGTTACGAAAGATCTTTTCTTGCTGTTCAGTTCATAAACATACATCAGGCCTACTCCTGCCTCTACTGAAATCAATAAGAGTTTTGAGATGGACCTAGGTGAAAACAGGATTGATCCCATTGTGGTGACATGAGCTCATTACATATTTAACAGGAGATAACAATGTAGCATTAAAACATGTAGCTGTGTATTTACTGTTATTTTAAATAATAACCACTAGTTTACTAGTTCTAAATTACTTAGGCCAGGTCTACACTACTGCGGTAGTTCGACGGCTGGCAATCGAACTTCCGGGTTCAATTTATCGCGTCTGGTCTGGACGCGATAAGTCGAACCAGGAAGTGCTCGCCGTCGACTGCGGTACTCCACCTCAGCGAGAGAAGTACCGCGGAGTCGACGGGGGAGCCTGCCTGCCGCGTGTGGACCGCGTCTGAACCGCGGTAAATTCAAACTAAGGTATGTCGACTTCAGCTACGTTATTCACGTAGCTGAAGTTGCGTACCTTAGATCGAATTGGGGTGTTAGTGTAGACCAGGCCTTAGTAATTCTCTGTAGTTCTCTGTGGTCTGTGGAGCCCTTCTTGGTGATGTGCAGACTAAAACTCTTTGAGATTGAAGCAATGGTGGAATGTAGGGTTGTGGGGAGGAGAGAGCCTGCAGTCTGTACTACGTGGTTCAGAGAACAGAGAAGTTGGAGAATGATCACATCACCTCTGTAGGCACAGTAGATTTAAAAAAGGAGAATAATAATCTATGTAATTCATCCTTTTGAAGGAGATGTTTTTAACATAGCTGTACTGCCTATAGTATATAGCATGTGACAAGCTTTAGAAACAGACTCTCACTCTCTTGTTGTGCCTCCTGCATCCCCTCTGTAAAATATACACAAGTTCAAACAGTGAGTACGGCTGAATCAGGCCCACAAGACCCCCTTCTGTCCCTGTGCTGGCTATTTGCATCGGGGTAACCTCACAGGAGAGGAAGAAGACTCTGCACAGCCACTACACACCCTCCTGCTTGGTGCAGTTTCTCTCTCCTCCTTCCTAACACACCCAACAGTGTAGCTGTGCCAGCATGTTAGGGCACATGTGCTGCACCACTTTAGACCCAGTGCAGTTTATTCCCATCCTGAAGCAGTGGGGAGGCCAGAGTCACAGTTTCCCCTCACTTATGGCATAGGCATGACGGAACCCTTACTGATAAGCTTGGAAGTAATATGCAGAGACCGATTCTAAAACGCATACCACAAAATGGGGATTGTACAAATTTCTAGACAAAATGTAAGGAAACTGTGGTGAAGAAGAGAAACCACCCAGCAGCATGGAAGGGGTTAAAGAGAGCCTTTGGGCCCAGCTAGCCCCACCCTGTTATACCTGCAGCCAATGTCAGGCCTGGAAGGGAGAGAAAAGGAGGGAGCCTGCCTCAGTTTGAGGCTGACTAGTGAAGAGACAGGAGCTCGCTGCCTCCCTACCTGAGGGAAGGGTCACTAGGCTGCGAGCAGAGGCAGCCACCAGGAACCAAATACTGTCTTCCTGGCCAAAGGAGCTGGAGAAAGAGGTCTAGGAGCACGGGGCCTAAGAGGAGCCCAGGGGAACAAAGCTCAGACACCTTGTGGGGGTTCTGACCCTGCTAAACTTACTACTACCCCATATGGAGGAATCTGCAACCTCAGCAGGATGCCGCCCAGGGTCCACAAGGGGGCGCTACTAGAGACAAGCCACCACAGGAACTTGGACTCTAGGAGTCACACCCCAAACTGAAGGGACAGCAGTGGGAAGTAGCCCAGGGCTGTGGACATAGACTCTGTGCTGAGAGGTCCCCTACTCAGGGATTGACTTACACAGGGCCCTGGGCTGGGATCCATTGGAGTGGGAGGGCCCGGGTCTCCCTAAACTCCTGCCTTAAAGACTGAGGCACCTCAACCACAGAAGCAGGGGGCAGGAAGTCAAGTACTCCAACCAGTACTCCAACCTCCAAATCCCTGGTACAGAAACCTGTAATAAGATTACCTGAACCATCATCAAGGAGTTTGAGCTCCACTGCAGATCCAGTCTGTGGTTCAACAGTGGCCATCACGGTTGCACCAAGAACAGGCAAAAATCCTTGACTAACTTCTGCATAAATCACCATTGGATTAGGGAAGTTGTTTGTATCCTTATTCATGAGGGCTTTCACAGTCACTGGAGGCACAGCCAAAGATGCGGCTCGAGAGGTTACTATCATGGATATGACTTGAGAATCTGTGTGCTTATTTTGAATCCAATAATACCAATCCCCCACCTGCAAATCAAATATATGGAGTATAAAAATATAATATAAGACTCCATTAGTCTAAAGGCAGCTTTGTGTTTCCCTTAGTTAATTATTATCTTAGTTCAGGGGAGATTTTCCAGGGCACAAAGGGCAATTAGGGGACCACAGCTAAGGTAATCTGGGTACCTTACTCAGGATTCTTTGTGCTCTCAAATGTTTGGTTTCTTTTAAATTTAACCTTATGTCTGAATTTGCTCAGTTTTAGTGGTGGATGTTTGAAAATTATCACATTCTTGGAAGGACTGGAACCCGTATATTATTGATATGCACTCTCAACCCGAATTTAGTGTTTTGTCTGGGAGTCTTGTATACTTGGGATGTGTATAGTGAATAATAAAAAATTAGGAGGAGCACAAATGACAGTTAGACAACCATTGGAAGTCAGTGGAGTTACACCATGGATAAAATTGGTTCATTAGGAATATATATTTATAACTTCTAAAAAGAGAAGGGGCATTTTAGATTATGAAAATGTTAACATGATTGGATAATAAAAGAGTTTAGTCTTTACCTCTGCAGTGCCTGCTATATTCAGTCGAGCTGTTCGGAGGTTTAGATCACTAACTGTGAAGTTTGACGTTCTATATTCTTTTCCTTTGGGGTCCCTCAGTAAAATGTCTGGTGGAGATGTGCTTCGATCCCATGTAACTACAAAGAAGGTGTCCTTTCCCACAGTGCTATCTACAGTCACTGTACCATTCATCCACTGCTTGACTGTGACACTCTGAGCTGTACTTTCAAGCTATTAGACAAATAAAATATGTTTTATGGCTAGTTAGCAGATAAACACTTAAAATACCAATAATTTCAAAGCGGTTCATTTTCCTCTTAAAGGGCCGAACAAATCAATATTTTGCATATGCAGAGGGCATCTTGACTGGCTGGTGGACAACTGGCCCAGTGCTGGAAGATGGGACAGAGGAGGATTAATGCTGGCACCACCCTGAGCAGGTCTCTGCTGTTTTGTGCAGAGCTCAGGGTTGTGCAAAGGAGGTAGAAGCCTCCTGCCACTGTGCCTCCACACATGGGGAACTAGCAGGAGGGCGAGGGCCACTTGGGCTAGCGATTAAAGAGAGTGGAATAATGAATCCCTGAGCACATTTTTGGTAATGCCCAGTTCCAGAGTACAGTTGCTTGAGAATGTGAAAATATAGTAAGCAAGGGTCTCCTTCCACTGCTCTTTGTGGTCTATCCACCTAGCTATCAAATCACTTCTGTGCAGGAGATTAATGCTACTTTCCTCTGCAGCTGTCAGCCTGCTTCCAGAAAGACAGCACAAAGACAGCCATACAACCACAGGTAGGGACATCAGAGAAGTAATGAGAGACACAAACAGAAATAACATAAACAACAGGGAGACACACAGAAAGGAGAGAAACAGGATGTCCTTTACCAACATTGGTATTGCACATGTGAGCCACCAGAATTTACAGATGAGCTACCAATATAAGTTTTATAGCGGCCCACTGGCCTACCAGGCTGCAAGTAGATTTGCTCACTCCTGTTTTACAGATTACAAAAACTAAAGATAGAAAAGTACCTTTTAATAAAATATCTTTCTGTTTAGGATAAAAATTGGACATTAGATACTGGAAGGCAATTTCAGAGATCACCTGGGTGGACATTTGAGAGTCAGGTGCTCAGATTGTACTATAGTAATGAGATTGGTATAAATGCTTAGAAAGTGTGATAAATTCTCTTTTAATAGCTGATGTTACTATCCCAGAAAATAAAGAAACATTTTGTTTTCTTTCTCCTGATGTGACAGTGGAGCTACTAAAACAGAAAACCTAATAATTCAGGACTTCAACTATCTCCAGATGGACTGTGAACATGTCACCTCCTCTCTCCACTGTGCAACAACAGAGCTAATTTTGACTCCATTAGGAGTCTTTTACATGCTACAGAGCTGAAATCACTGATACCAAGGTCTAAGTGTTAGATCTGCTTTGAGCTAGTGGTGCACTAGCACCAAGGCTCCCCTATGACCAGCTAAAATCACTGAGAGCTGAAGTCACTAAAGAGCTGAGATCACTGAGAGCTGTGATAAGAAGGGGAGGGGCCTGAAGACAAGTTGGTGAGCGGCTAGCAGGACGGCTAGTGGAGAGGAGCGGATAGCGGAGAGGCGTGGCGAGCAGAGCAGAGCGGATAAGAGGGTGACTGGCAGAGAGATGCAGCTGGCGGTGAAGACTACAGCAGAACCCCACGGAGAGGCATGGCAAACGGCCGTCAACCCAAGCAGCGGAGCATGTAAGATGCCCCCATACCTCCCCCCTCTTCCACCCAGGCTGGGAGGTAAACTGCAGAGGAACTTCTGAACTCTGGGGGCTGCACTGACCAAGGTCAGAAACTGTGGGTGGGGTGACTGTTGGGTTGTTGGACTTAAGACCCTGAGGGGAGAAGGACACTGCCAAACTTACTTGGGGGGTGGGTCTTTTGCTCATGGTTTGTGTTATGAATCCTGTTTGTGGTGTTTCCCCAACATAATGCCGCATTGTTTCCCTCCTTTATTAAAAGGCTTTTGCTACACTGAGACTCCGTGCTTGCGAGAGGGGAAGTATTGCCTCTTAGAGGTGCCCCGGGGCGTGCCATATAATTGTCCCAGGTCACTGGGTGGGGGCTCGAGCCGGTTTTGCATTGTGTTAGTGAAACCGAACCCCTAGATACTGAACCCGGCCCTTGTTGCTGCCAAGTCTGATGGGCAGAAGGGTTACATTTATGAATGTATATATGACATAACTAGAATATGTTTTATGCTACATATGCCATGTAACATATCTATGTAAAGGTTATGATCTACTGAATAAATTCCTCCTATTTGTATGCATGAATCATTTGTGTACTTGAAGTTAGGAATATTGGCTGTATACTTGCTTGATTTCTATTGAGAAAGGAATGTGCAAATTAAATGCCCAATAAAAACCACTTAAGCCAACAATGAACTTGAAGATGCCAATCCACATCTAAGCTTTCCCAGGAATGTGGCTTGGCCGGTAAAAACTGAGTCATGCATGGACATGTGACTTGCCCATGTGACTCCAAAACTCCATCTTGGAGCTGGGCTTTGCATAGGAGAGAGGAGGGAGTCTCCACCCACAAGAGAAAGTCTACTTAAACCCCTGGGAGACCCCTCCATTTTGTCTTCAGCTGGCTAAAGGGATAGCCTCTCCACCCCCAAGGATACCCCAAAAGAAACTGGAACAAAGGACAGTACCTACAGGAGGTGTGAGTGATTGCTGGACCCAGACTAGCAGGAGACTAGTCTGTAAAAGGAAGCTTACTGGAACTGGTGAGGTTTTATTTGTATTCAGTTTCTTAGACATAGACTTGTGTGTTCTATTTTGTTTTACTTGGTAATTCACTTTGTTCTGTCTGTTACTACTTGAAACCACTTAAATCCTAATTTCTGTATGTAATAAAATCACTTTTTACTTATTAATTAACCCAGAGTATGTATTAATACCTGGGGGGCAAACAGCTGTGCATATCTCTCTATCAGTGTTATAGAGGGCAAACAATTTATGAGTTTACCCTGTATAAGCTTTATTTAGGGTAAAATGGATTTATTTGGATTTTAGACCCCATTGGGAGTTGGGCATCTGAGTGTTAAAGACAGGGACACTTCTGTAAGCTGCTTTCAGGTTAAACCTACAGCTGTTAGGGGTCGTGGTTCAGACCCTGGGTCTGTGTTGGAGCGGACGGGCGTGTCTGGCTCAGCAAGACGGGGTGCTGGAGTTCTAAGCTACCAGGGCAGGAAAGCAGGGGCAGAAGTAGTCTTGGCACATCAGTTGACAGTTCCCAAGGGGGTTTCTGTGATCCAACCTGTCACACTATTCATTCCCTCTGAAGCATCTGGTACCGGCCATTCTTGGAAGACAGCATACTGGGCTAGATGCATCATTGGTCTGACCCAGTATGGCTATTCTTATGTTTTTAACAAGACCTGTATACATTTGTAGAGAAGCTAAGTAGTCCATGGACAACGCTATGTTAGTTGCTGTGCATGATTCAGATAAAGTGCAAAACTGGGTCCATAGTAGAGATTTAACAAAGTGAGGGATGAGTTGTTAAGTTATAGATAGCACAACCCAAGAGCTGTGATAGAAATAGGAGGAGGGGAAAACTCAGTACTACTAGCCTCAATTATTTTGAAGAAATCGTTGCTCAGTTGAGATAGTGTCAGGAAAGCTAGGAATCAAAATGTTATCTATTGTTTAGAAGATAAGCAATCAGGGTATTTTCCTCTTTATTGATAATGGTATTAAGTAAGATGCTCTGGAAGACAAGATGACTTGTTTACAGCATTCCATATAGGAGTGGCTGAACGTTCTGTGGTATTTCTGCCTACCTCTGTCTACAAGTCCCTTTTCAATAGCTAATTGTGAAAATTTTTAATTTTCTTTGTTTCACTGGCTATTTCATTTCATTGCTAATATAACAGACCGCAAAAATTCCCACGGCCATTTCCAAATATCACTTTATACTTCAATTTTAAGATCAGCCACTGGCAGTTCAATAGTTATGATTACTGACAACTAAAATTACTACTATAGAGCAGTAACTGATTAATAATGTGAAAAAAATTGAAACTCAGACCTGAATAGACTGTTCAGAAATATTTCCACTTCCTGATGAAATTCCACTGAATGCATCAATAAGGCCATTGGAGTCGACTGTATCGGTGGCATAAAACCTTAAGCCTCCTGAAATGTGATGGTTAAAATAATCAGAATAATCATTTACTGTAAAACAGTAGGTTTTTCTTATGTGCCTTATTCTAGTTTGGCTGTTGCTATAAAGCACGGTGTTAATTTGATAAATTAAATCTTGTTCCTTTACTATCCTTTGTTCATGGGAGAGGAGGGGAACCACTGGTGTTGGGGAAATCAATTAATACAAACACCTAAAGGAGTTCCTGCAAAAAGCTAGTCTGACCTGGGAAATGCTACCATCTGTTCACATTTTAACTCCACCTCGCTTGATCACATCTAGCACTTCATCCAGCACACTGTGCTGATTCACTTACAGGCTGTTCTTGGTAAGTCTGGACTTTGAGCTATGCACTACCTGTAAAGTGTAATTCCGTTTTGAAAGACACCTCTGTAAAAATAACGTTGTAGCATTCCATGATTATTGCTTCTCAATTACTCAGATCAAATCTGTTTCGTTTACCAGTATAATGTTTGGGCCACTTTCATATGTGCTGAGCACCCATAACTCCAATGGGAATTTCTGCTGCTCAGTGTTTTTGGAAATCTGGCATTTGTTTCAAACAGTGAGTCCTGCACACTGAGACTGGGCCCTGAAAGATCAGCTGGGCTCTTTCTGGCTCACACATCAGTCACTAGCACTCTGTGTCAGTGTGATCAGATTCTGTGATCAGAACTTAGTGAACTATTCTGTTATAGTACACAAACCAGAACTGAATTCAGTTTGTTCTCCCACAGCCACGTTGGCTGTACAATGCTAACAAGAGTTAAATAAGATTGTACTGCTTTTTAGTCCCTGAAGCAAGCAGATGTGACTCTGAATACACAAAAGGAGCATCTTTGTTGACTAAGAAGGTGCAATTTATACATAGTCACTATTCGGAGTAAAGTTACAGTCTAAATCAACACATGGAATTCCCATTGGTAGGTGCCGGGTACTGCAGCATCACCCAGCACCCATCTGGCTTTCCTTAAAATGGCTGAAGTTAAAAGTAACAGTGCAGCTCCAACTCAAAGCAGAGCTGACTGACTCCTCAGCTAGAGCCCTCCAGCTGTGACTAATTGAGAGAGGGTTATTATTTAACTATTTAGGACATTAATAAGTTTACACACCATTGCCATGTAAATATCAGAAATAAAATGTTAATCATTTCAACACTGAGCTTATATTTCTGTTTAGAGAAACATCCTGCAGTAATATAATTATCAAACCTCGCTATTTAGCAGAGTGTTACCAGGTTACAATTTTTTTAAAGCAAGGACAGATAAAGATAACAATTGCTCCCAATATTATTGTGTTTATTCAGGTGAAAATAAACATTCTGTAAATCTGACTGGAATTAGGTGACTAAGTTTACTTTCTTTTCATATTGCAAGCTATAAACCACTCTAGTTTTACATTTCTTGCTTCAAGTATGCAAGCCAAAAGCAGGGTTAGTTTAGAAAGTTACTCACCCGTCATATTTGAAAATTGTTCTAGTTCTGGAGCAGCATTTGGTCCCAAGGCAATGGTGTGAATGATCGATCCACTGTTTTTCACCTCCGTAAGGCAACTGCTCATACCCCCATCCTCTCCATCTGTCAGCAGTACAATTTCAGAACCATAGAGATTAGAGTACTTTTGTTTAATCACCTACATTGATAAGAGAATTTCAGGTATTAGCAATAGGACTTTATTGTAAATGTTAGCTGCCCTAGCACAGGTAGCACAACAATTTTCCTTGATGTATACGTGTGCAAGTGTAAGGCAAAATCCTTTCCTTACAAGTGTGAATTGGGCGAGCGGTGGAGACTGTGTTATGTGGCAATGGCTGAATTGAAGGTGTCTGAATTATCCTGCCTGTACAGAGCAGGATGGTTCAGGGGAGAGGTGTCTAAGGGTAGCATATTCCTTACATCTCTTCCAAGAAGTTGCAATGTGTGCCCCCACTCCAGGTCCTGCTGCCAATGACAGCATATGCACAGGGCATCTTCCAGAAGCTTGAACATGTCCCTTAAGGCTATGGAAAGCTACCATGAACGCAGTTCTGTTCTGGGTAGTGGCTTGAGAAATCACAGCCTATCATGATGCCATTTTTACATAATCACATTTCAGAATGAAACCATGCTTAAACCAATGTTAAAATAAATAAAATATGCAATTTTTATAAGACTTTATATGATTTTGATCTTCTGCAAGATGCCTTGAGATTCCTGCAAGCATTCTTGTAAGTTTGTGTCAATGCAATCTTAATTTTTTTGTAGTATAAACATCACAGGGCCTTGTTAATTTCTTAGGCCCTGCACCTGCTTCTATTGAACCAAATAGATTGAGCTTCCTAAGTCTCTCACTCTAAAGCACATTTTCCAAACCTTGAATAATTCTTGTAGCTCTATTCTGAACCCCTTCCAGTTTCCCCAACATCCTCCCTGAAGTGTGGACACCAGAACCAATCCCTGGATTCCAGTAATGGCCTCAGTACTGCTGTACACAGAGGTGAAATCACCTCCCTACTTCTACTCATTATTCTCTTCCTTATACATCCAAGGATCACATTAGCTCTCTTAGCTATATAACTGTACTCAGAGCTCATGTACAACTGGATATCCACCATGATCCCTAATTCCATTTCAGCGTCACTGCATTCCAGGACACATTCTCCCCAATGTTCTCCTTCACCTCAAATCCTTTGTGTACTCCTGCGCAGATGTTAGTTCCTCCACCAGCTGATATAGGCAGGTATTCGGTAAGATCCCGGCGTACATTCTCATTGATTATTTGTTGTAGATAAGTTTCAATTTGTGCCGTAGAATGGAATGTGACAATTCCAACCCAGGAACCCGTTTCAATAACCTGTAGCAGGAATATCTCTGCAGCTTGTTTGAGACGTTTAATGCGGTTATTCTGCAGGTGAAGAAAGGGATATACTTAGAACAGTCAAGGCTTTACAGGAGAGACAGCAAAAAGCAAGAATACAGCAATTACTAATGTTCATTTTGTACCAAAAAATGGAAATGTACCTGCCATAGAGTAGATGAGAGATTTGGAGGGAGTATATGGGTAGTTGTTTAACATTTCCAATATCTGAGTACTCCAGACTACCTCACGTTACCCCCAGCCATATTCTTTCCAGAGTAGTGGAGATGTGTGCCATGTTTGGCTATCATGAAAATGTATCTGCATACTGAAACTGCCAGGAGATATATAACAGTGTGAGCCAAACAGCATTCTAATAATGTGATCTCATGCTCACAAATAAGATTCTGTGTCACATAATTTGTTCACAGTTCTGAATCTTCAGCCACTTTACCTAATCAACCTACCTATGCATTAGGATAGCCCCTGTATTTTACATATTACTGGCACTTTGAACATTTTTAATTTTCATGAGAGAACGTCATCAAACCAGCTGTCGTCATTCTTGATCTTTTTAAGATTAGGGGTTGGGCCCATTTCTATCTTTTTATCTCTGGAAATCTAGTTGCAGATCTTAGTTAACTACTTGTTTGCCTTTTAATGGCTTTGGGGTGAATTTGATACTAAAGAGAGTAAAATACTCATAATATTAATCTATATAAGCTTTTCCAGACTGCTCTTTCACTGTACCTCCACATCTGCTATTCCAATCTGAAACCTCTCCAGAGGAAGGAATGCCAGCTGTGTCAAAAGATTTGGTTGTGTGATGGGGACAGATAATCATTAGAGAGTACCACTTTCACTTGTGATCCAGAATCTGAAGTATTATCTCTAGAGGGAAAAGATTGGTGCATTTACATCCTGTGCCTCTCAGTTCCCAGTTGGGTGATTTCATAGCATATGTCATGTATGATAGACATATATCCTGTCATAACTTCACTAGATAATTTGGGCAAATTGTCAATCTTTGCTGAAGATCAGTTCCAGGAATGGAATTGTATTGGTGTGGCATGTCAGGAAGATGATCTGTTGGCACAGCAATATAGGGCAGTGGTTTTCAAACTGCGGGTCGCGACCCAATACTGGGTCGCGGAATGTAAGGCACTGGGTCAGGGCGGCTCTGGTCAGCACTGCCGACTGGGCCATTAAAAGTTCCGTGGGTGTTGCTACCTGGCTAAGGCAGGCTAGTCTCTACCTGTTCTGACATTGTGCTGCGCCCCGGAAGCAGCCAGCAGCGGGTCTGGCTCCTAGGCGGGAGGGCCTCTGCGCACTGCCCCCACCCCAAGCACTGGCTCCACACTCCCATTAGCCGGGAACCAGCCAATGGGAGCTGGGGGGCGTGCCTGCGGGCGAGAGCCGCGCAGAGCCACTTGTGCACCTCCACCTAGAAGCCAGACCTGTGGCTGGCCGCTTCCAGGGCACAGCACAGTCTGCGCTGTCAGGACAGGCAGGAAGCCTGCCTTAGCACCCCCCACTGCACTGCTGATCGGGAGCTGCCCAAGGTAAGTCTGCACCCCAACCCCCAGCCCTGAGCCCACCTCAAACCCAGAGCCCTGACCCCCTCCTGCATCCCAACTTCCTGCCCCAGCTCCCTTGGGTCGCGGGCATCAACAATTTTCTTCAACTGGGTTGTTAGGAAAAAAGTTTGAAAACCACTGATATAGGGGACGCTTACACAGGGTATACCTGCCCTGTACCTGTTTTCAGCCAGTGTTTAGTGCTTTACTTTCAAGAGCACTGAATTCCATTCTGCTCAACTGTAGTTCATCACAAGATGCACTACTTACTTGAGATCCATATCTTTCTTTGTCACAAAATCAATGAAGTTAGTATTTGATATTGACAAATACTGAACTCATATAAAACATTATATAGTACCCTATAGGTCAGTGGTCCCCTAACTTTTCCTCTTCACTCCTCCCTTAACAGTAATAGAATATGTCTGTGTCCCCTCGGGCCACGAGCGGAGCCATGGCCACAGGACAGGAGCCCAGGGCCTGGGGACGGAGCAGGGCTGAGTGGCTTTCCCTCCCTGTCCCCTCATGGGGGCTGGCCCAGCCCCCACCCCGGACATTCCTCTGTGTCCCCGCAGTGGGGACACGCCCCACAGTTTGGGGACCACTGCTGTAGGCCAAAGAAATAGCCATATGCCATTTTAAGCACCCTCCTGTACATTTTGATCAAATTCATTATTGTGGTTCTTTATCAAATATTTTAAGAGATCTGCTCAACCTGCTTTAGCCTCATAAATGATCTTTGTGAAAGAGAAGATAAATCCCATGCACCATCCTTGGCAAATTCCGTACCATATACCAAGGATTTTTCTAACAGACTTTATCAAAACATCATCATTTGGCTCCTCAGTGGAGTTGTGTTGATTGTTGAACTGAAGACCCAAAATATTTATTTTTTAAAGAAAGCTACATTAATACACTTTATACTATATAATAATACAGTAGAACCTCAGAGTTACTAACACCTTGGGTATGGAGGTTCGTAACTCTGAAATGTTCGTAACTCTGAACAAAACGTTATGGTTGTTCTTTCAAAAGTTTACTACTGAACAATGTCTTAATACAGCTTTGAAACTTTACTATGCAGAAGAAAAATGCTTCTTTCCCTTTATTTTCTAGTAGTTTACATTTAATACAGTACTGTACCGTATTTGCTTTTTCTGTCTCTGCTGCTGCCTGATTGTGTACTTCCAGTTCTAAATGAGGCATGTGGTTGGCTGGTCAGTAACTCGTCGTAACTCTGAGGTTCTACTGTATATATGGAATACATGATAGTATGGTACAGTTTTAACTAGCATGAGTTGGGGATACTAATGTTGTTCCTTGATGGTGACATTTTGAGTGACTAGGCAGGCCATTCGAAAGAAAGAGTGATAAAACCACACCAACATATATTCAGTATGACAGAAAAAAAGTATTCTTGAATGTTTTAAGAGATGTTTCATATTTATATTGGGACTATTTTTTATCCTTTTACCTGTAAAGCCAGGTGCCTTTTTTATCATTATTCAATCCATACAGGGCTTATAAAGATTTCTAAAAATTACATAAATTTTTTTTCAGACATAAAATATCTTGTCCTCCCAGAGAAATACCGGTGGGAAGGTCCTATTTCTAGCCTTGAAGATCTGTGAAATATCAAACTTAAACATTGTAACATTTTTGAGGACAGACGTTGTCACTGGCTCAGGATTGAATGTTTGAAACAAAAATAAGGGATGAAGATATTCTGTATATTGGGGAAAGAATACAACATATATTGATATAAAAATAGGTCTTGGAAGCTGGCTAGTGGTTTGGAATGTAAGATTAAAACCTGGGTAGATGGATTTATAGGAAGAATGCAGCTGAAGCTTGTAAAGGTACAGGATAAATAAACCGCAAAAATGTGTCCAACTTATCACATGGCTATCACTTCCACGTGTTATGATATTTATACATATGAACAGACAGCTTATTCAGGGAGGTTATATTGGATTTACTGTAAGATTGATAAATTTGAGGCCCAAAACAGATTGAGAGTCTCTTTAAGGGCTCATGTTATCTACAGGGGCCTCTGCAAGATGAAAATTGTGCTAAATTTAGCACAAGTTTTAATTTAAAAAAATGCCTCTGGGTAATCCAGCATCACTTTATGACATCCCAAATTCTTGACTCATTAGGATGAATGATTATGAAAGAAAGTATTTCATTTTTATTTTGCTATACACAGTGACTTTCATATTTATTTTGAAAATAACTTCGGAGTCACATAGCACAAAACGTGCATGTATGATATATTTTCTGTTTTGGGGAACTACAGTGATTCTGACATTCTGGAGCTGAAGCTAAAAAAAAGAGCAGTAGTTATATTTTGTAAGGAAAGAGAGATCAAGTATGGCATATTGTTTTTAGCAATTTGATGAGTTTCCTTTTATCAATCCCTAAATATGTATAATGGGAGAAATAGTGGCATCAATTTTTCTAAAATAATAAACATGATTACTGAAATATTGACTGAAGAAAATATTGTAATATATACACACCACATTATTTTATAATTGCCTAACCGTTTCTAAGCATTTCTGCTAAAAAAAGAACGTGTATGTTTATTCTTACCCCGTCCATGCTCCCAGAAACATCAAGTACTAGACAGACTACTCTGTCTTTGGTCTGCAGCAATGAGAAGGCCGTCTCAAATGGAGGACTTGCGCTATTTATCGGAGAGGTGTTACTGAAGTCCATAGAGTTCATAATTACTTCCCAGGTGCTGTGGTAGTTACACATTTTGTTCTGCAGATTTGTAGCCTTTTCATTATGAGTACTTTGATCACAGAACTCAACCACCTTAAAAAAAAAGCCAATTGAAAGAGAAGAAAAGTTACTGAAAAAACAAGTGAACACTTGTAATAGCAAATTCCAGTCTACTATTGTTCCATTGCTCACCACAACCACAAATACAAAAATTCTTCGCCCACTCTAAAGGCTACAGAGAATATAATCTGTCTATGTCCTGTACCCTGGACGAAGTCAAAGAAGCATGTCTCAGGGTTTACACTGAGAATAACACTGCAGCTCAAGTGGGCATACCCACATTAGCTTTAGTCCACCTAGTGTGGCTACAGATAGCAATGAAGATTTGGCAGCATGGGCTGTACAAGCTCACCCTGTCCCTACTTGTCCCTTCTTCACTTGAATTTGGCATCCATACCCTGTGTAGAGAGTGAGATTGATTTTACGGTGATCCCCTCAAACAGGGCATGCTGCCCTTTATTCATACAATAAGGAAAACAAAGTTAATTTTAACCCAAAACTGACAAGTTTGATCACTTTGGCAAAGCAGCTCTGTCTGCTGAACGCCATGGCAGAGTAGGTGTGTTGTCTATGCAAATAAACACTGCTCCTGAAGTCTTTTCCCCCAGTTCATCACCAAATGGCAAGGTAGAGTTCATTCAGATCCCAGCTTACACCAGCTACCCTCCAAAACCAGAGTTAGGGCCACAGGCAGCCAACATGTTGGCCCTTGGGATGGTCTGTACTAGGGACAATCAAACACCGGAACAAAAGGTCTAAGCCCAACAACTGGTACTCTCCATACTGTGTTTTCTGACCAGCTGAGTAAAAACTACTACACTTCCTACCACATCCAAACTAAGGCTGCACAAGGCTTCAGGACATCACGCAGCCTCTTGCATAGAAGATGAGGGAGATCATGAAGCAGAAACTCCAGTACATGCTGGACCTTGGGGGAGGGGGGTGACAGAAGAGACCCATAGACTGGAGAAGTCCAAGCATGTTGGTTCTTAAACCCTATGGACCACCCATTTTGCACTGATATTTAGAAAAGTCTATGCCATCTCAAAGTTTGATGCATACTCCGAGCCACACATTGACAAGCTACTAGATTGGTTGGATGAGGCCAAATATATTACCCCTTGGATCTCACAAAGGTATACTCACAAATCCTACTCACTCTGGAGTGCTGACAAAAAACAGCCTTTGTCACCTCTTATGCCCTCTATCAGTTCCAGACCCTATTGTTTGGCCTACATGGGGCTCCAGCAATGTTCCAACAGCTAATGGACCAGTCCCTCTAGTCCCACAGTAGTTATGCTGTGTTCTCCCTCGATAATGTCATGGTCTATAGCTGGAAAGACTTCCTGAAGCACGTGGTTGCTGAAATCTGGTCCCTCAGAGTGGACAGACTAATGGTGAACTCTGCAAAGTTCTGTACCATCAAAGACAAAACTACTTACCTGGGGTACACCATGAGGAAGGGCCAGGTACAACCTCTTGTAGACAAGGTCCAGACCTTGAGGGACTGTCCACCCCAACCAAAAAAAGCAAATGCACCAGTTTGGGGGGCTGACGGGATACTACTACCAGTAGTTCTTATCTATTGAGGCCTTTCTCAGTAATCTTCTCAAGAACAGCAGCCTGAGAAAGATCCATTGGACGGAAGCCTGTGAGAAGGTCTTTCAGTTACTAAAGGGTAACCTCTGTAGGGAGCCCATTTTAAACAGACTGGATTTCACTGAGGAATTCCTCCTACACACTGATGCTTCTGAAGCTGGACTGGGGGCTGTCTTGTCTCAGATAGCTGATGGTGAGGAACATCCCATCCTGAGTTGCAAGTTGTTCCCAAGAGAGGCCTATTCCATTATTGAAAAAGAGGACTTAGCTGTGAAATGGGCCATGGAGGCACTCCAATATTACCTTCTTGACAATTAATTCACCCTGGTCATGGATCATGACTCCATGCTATGAAGGACATCAACCCCCAACTCACATGGTAATATCTGTCTCTCCAGATCTTCTCCTTCTGTGTCCAGCATAGGACTGTGTGTGCTCACTGAAATACAGACTTTTTCTCTTAGTAGAGGGGAGCTAGCAGGGGAGAGCAGTGCCCTAGGTAAGATCCTAGGTGGGGTGATGAGGCAAAAAGGCCCCATGCAGGTAATGAGAAGGTTGCTGAGAGCCTGTCTATCCAGTTGGCCCCACCTCATTGTATCTTCAGCAAATGTCAGCCATTGGAAGGGAAGGACTGGAAATGTTGCCCTGAAAGCAGAGGGGAAGTTTTGTGGGCAGAGTGATGGGTAGAAATAGGCTTGGAACTGTGAGTAAAGAAAATATCCCCTGTTGTTTGATTCCTGCTATCTTTAGAGTAACAGGACTTCGTGTATATTCTTTGTAAATAAACAGGATTGCATCAAAGAAATACTTTACTCCATCATCAGTTTCTCCTAATGGAAACAACCTACAAGACACTGGCTATCCACTTGGGTCAAAAAGCGATAACAGTACTTACAGAAGGGAGGCTCTGCATATACATTATAGATGCTGGGGCATTTTGTGTTTTTTCTGGTACAAATTTACATCCAGCTTCATACAGCTTTGTCTGTTCATCAGATTTGCATTCTCTTGTCGTGCAGCTGTTTCCCGTGCAGCTTTGGACTATGTATTTCCCAGTGACACTAGCTGAACACCTAAAGGGGAGGTAAGATAGAAAGAGGCTTAGCTAACAAGCTGCATATAATCAACAAATAATAATCTGTTATTTATTATTTGAATCATGAAAGGCCCAAAGTCTCCAGTCAGCACTGGGATTGTATTGTATTAGCCACTGCACAAACACAAATTTAGACACTTATCTCTGCCCCCAAAGAGTTTACAATATAATTTACAAGTGGTCAGAATAATAAAATACTGGTAGACTTTTTTTTCCAGAGGAATCTTCAAGAAATCATGTATAGGTTGTGCATCAAACAACAACTGTGTAAGCAGTAACAATGCAAGTGCCTCTACTATTCCATCAATATGCTTCAATCCAGACATGAAGGATGCTCTCCAGCGGTGAGCTGGTATTACATTCTCCATGCTCATTCAATCACTGTCTTTGTGACACAGGTGGTCACTAAGTTACTAGTTATTTCCCCCCTGGAATGGACTTGACTGAAGACAAGTCTACACTACAGCACTATATGGGAGTAGCTGCGCAGCTGTAGCACGTCTGATGAAGACGTGCGATGCAGAGGGAGAGCGCTTTCCCATCGGCATAATTACTCCACCTTGGCAAGAAGTGGAAGGTATGTGAGCGGGAGAGCATCTCCCGTCCACATAGCACCAGAGTGGACAGCGTGAAGCTTGCATCACTTGGGGGGAAGCTTTCTTGACTTAGGCTGTAATGTAGACCTGTGGTGTAGGCATGGGGCTGATGTGCTAATGAGAGCAATCAACCCAGCAGCTGGGAGCAGTTAAGAGGCAGGAAGGAAGTGCAAGAGGGAGGATGTCAGGAGATACAGGGGCTCACCATGAGGAGATCTTTCCCTCTGCCACCCCAGAGAGTGGGCTATGGTGAAGTTTACATACACTGGTATGTTGCTGCCCAAGGCTGTACTGAGGAACTGGTGGAGGGGACCTAATAAATAACACACTGATGCTTATAAACTTGGAAAGTGTCCAGCCAGTTTGTGGTGGTTGAAGGGCGGAGTAGGGAGCCTGGTCACAGTCTCCTTCAGCGGTGACTGCCAATTAGAGTGCCAATTGCAATAGAGGAGTTTGGTGATATTGATACTTGTCCATTAGGAATTGGACAGAAAATACCAATTCCTTTCACAATGGCCAACAAGTGATTGGCAGATGGTAATGAGTTTTAGGCACTACCAAACTGGTTCCAGTTCAGACCAGTGCCTGAGAAGTGAAAAGTTCTGTATCCCATTTCCAACCCTCTGAGATATCCAGTCTCACTCTGCTTTTTGTTTCTCATTGACAGAGTTGTACATTTAAAAAAAAAAAGAAAAAAACTTAGATACGCAGAATCTAGAGAACATTATCATAAGACAGTAACAGCTTTAAAGTGGGGGTAATAATGGGGTGTGTGCCTTGACCATGTCCCTTTTTAATATTTAAATAAAACTAAACATTAACTAGTAAGAATGTTCTGGAACTTCAAGGATCAGTCCCCCAAGGAACTTGAGAAAACATTCTTATTTACTACATGCTAACTGCTATTTGATAAAGCCAGGGTAAATCAAAATGTAGAGAACGGTAACTCAAATCTGTACTTGCTTTTAAATTAAAAGCTCATTTAGTATAAAAAGTGTGATGGATTATAAAATGATAGTGACTGCAATTCAATGAGACTGATCTGTGGGGAGCAATATTGTTAGTTAAACATTATTGTATACGCTTCTTTTTTAATCCTCTGAACAACAACTCGCCAAGACTCTTTGCATGGGCTCAGAGTACAGACTGAAGACAGAAGACCATTATGTGCCAAATGTCATTGAACTATTTAAAATGTCATCAACTGAAGACAAAATATAAAAACACTGGTACCTTGTTGCTTCAACACTTGCTTTTCCAGAATTTACAGACACATAGAAAGGTGCATCATTATTGTATTCATCAAACACTCCCCAACGAAGATGGGCCCATTCATGGACAAAAACTTTGGCTGTGGAAGAGCAGGAGCATATGTGAAATCTAAATACAACACTTTACAGTTTACTTTATATTTCCGTAGGTTGTTTAAACAAATTTAGGGCACAATCCTGCAATGAGATCTGCTTGGATGGACCCCTGCACCCACACAGGACTCACTGTGGGATCCGACTTTAAACCCAAACAGATCACTGTGTTCAGATTAACCCTTCCTGAGTATTAACAGACCTAGGTAAAGATCTGACACCTCTGTTTGCAAACAGTAGCTTCTGTCTATTCCTGGTATCAAGCAAGGTGTCTCATGTTACCCATGTCTTTTAAAATAATAATTCTTGGCTCTTATATAACACAAAGGAAAAGGTGTACTGTATATTAGAAAACCACAGAGAAGTTAGTTTAACTTCAGCTCAGGGTAAAACTAAGGATTACTTAGATAGTTGAAGGCAGATAATGTGTAAAAGGTTAGACAACCAGAATACTTTTCCAGAAAATCAATATATCACATCAAGACAATCTAATCCCTTTCTTGCAGGTGTTTGGTAAAGCCATTAACATGGAGAATGTATAGAATGTTGTCTACCTAAAGCTTTGAATTAGAGATAGGCCAAGGAAGCAGAGCTCAGATCAGATTGAATTCTGGCTTAAATTTAAGGTTTGAGTTCAGGGGCTGGTTTTGATCTAGCTCACATAAATAATTGATTCTAATTGGGTATGGAACAGAGATAAATAAATTTGACAGTATATTGGTTAATGGGCATAGGAGAAAGTCGTTGTTAATAACAGCAGATTACACTGCACAAAACTCAGGGGTCTCTACTGGGGCTTTTTTATTTGCTTATTAATGGCCTTGCATAGGCAATGCCCATGCAGTCAAAAAAATATGCTGATGAAATCAAAATGAGAATATTGTTAATTCCTTGTGACGGTACACTTAAAAGAAGCGTAGTTGGGCAAATGTGACTTTCAGAAGTTCCAGTAAACACCTTCACATCCTCAGAGCAGGATCCGCTCATGAGAGTTTGGTCTATTCTAGAATCCTCTGGGACTGGTTTTACCTGCATGCTCACCAGGATACACCCACTGCAACTCTCAGATTAGTTTACTGCACTGTAATGTTAGGATATAGATTATTTCCAAGTCAAGGCAATGATTTAAGAGGAAAAACAACCTTCATTTACTGTAAAAATATGAGCCAAAATTTTCAAAAGAGACCGGTCATTTTAGGTGCCCCCATTTCTGAGTGTCCAACTTAAGACTCATCCAGGGAGCCTGATGTTCAACACTTTGTGAAAAAAACAGGCTCTTTTAAAGTTTCGCAGGTTGGGCAACCAAAACTGAGGCATCTCAAATCACTAGTCACTTTGGAAAATCTCGGC